TTGGGAACTAAGATTCCAGCACGTATATTTGAGAGGACATATTGAAACTGTATCAGTCCAATTTAACCTTCATAATACAGGCTCCTCATAGCCTGTGATTCCCCATCATGATCAGTGCAATGAAGTTAGAAATCACTAATGCTGAGGATCTTTGGAAGAGTCTTTCTCTTAGGTCAAAAACAGGTGAACATTTTGAGGCTATATAAGTGATTGTATATTCATTTCTTGTGTTTGGCTGAAGCCACCGTTGGGGCCTCTTCGTATGTCTAATCCTTGGTGGACATACATATTACTCGTTCCCCCAAATAATGCTCTTTCACTGGGCCATTGGCTCTCCTTAAGTGAAAAATCATACAAAGAATGCTAATTCCTATGTATGTACAATGTCTCTCTCTTATTTTGCACATTAGCATTTTGATACCTGGTCTTTTGCTTAGTCTCTATCATTTTCCTACCCAATAAACACTCTTTCTCATGGTTTCTTTCTTAGTAAACAGAAGTAATTGGTTTATGAAATTCCATGGTAAAGCCTTATTGATCAATGGTGTTAAGAATTATTCACTGCCACCAGAGATATTCTAGTAAGAAAGAAGCTTCGTGATAGTTGGTACTTGGGATATTTGGTACTTGAGTGAAATTGAACTGAGAGCTTCAACTTATTTCAGATTTTGGGACAGGACAATCTGATGGGGATAGTTTCCAAGGGATCAAATCCTATGCTTCAAGCAAATGTATATTCCTTTATGCATCCAGAGAAATGAGGCAAAGTTTGGGGTATTGCTAAAGAATGCTAATAGAAATAGTTTTAAGCTTGAAATCCTAGATGTTGGAAGGTAAGCAAGGATTTGGAAAACAACATTAAGGTGATTTCTGTAAAGGAGACTTCAGCTACTCCCACCTGGAGCTTATAACTGCTTTGTTGACTCATGCATTTAAATTTTTCATCTTGATGTTTCCAGATTGCTCTGGGATCTTAGCCTAATTACAAAACCAAAAATCTACAGTCAAATCATCTTGGAAACTAAACGCTTCTTAATGGTGACTGAGGCCTGCATGGGAGATGGCATCCCACCTGGGGAGAGGGCACTTAAACCAGCCTCTCCCTTACCTGTTTCTCTGTGTCCCCTCTTTCCTGTGGTTCAACCAATGCAGCCCTGTCCCTTAACAGAATAAGGAAAGTTAGTGTTGATTTTGTATAAAGCAGCATAATTTCAGGGTGAACTTGAGTAGAGTTAGGGAGGCCAAAGTTTATTCACTGGGAAATTACCACCCCCCACACACTTAATTTAGATATTTAAGTCATGTAAAGTCTTTATAGTGATAGAGATTCACTCAGTAGCTTCTGAATGTGCTTTTATTCCCTTCGCATCTTACTTCCATGGATTAAGAGGAACTGTATTGAGGCAAAGGAAACTACTTAAATATCATTGGGACTCACTCCAAAATTGGAAACATTTCCACCTTGTGCTGGATCCCCTTAGACAATAGTAGTTCCATGCTATGTGCTGAGAGAATTCTAGGAATCAACCCCCTGGAATTTTGGGCAGGCTTGGGAGCTGGTAGCTCAAAGCCACATACAAACTCCATAAATATGAGTGTGCTGAGTCTTCACCAGTCTGTGTCTGCTTTTGTCATCCCATAACTATTGAGTATTCTTTCATTTTTTCTGAGTTAATTCCTGCATGGAAAGGGGCAAAAACCAAGTCACTCTGCTCTGGAAATTCAGCCCGAATTTTATGGTCACTGAATTCTAAAAATTTATACCTTCAACTGGCCCAATTTACCCTCTGAGAATCCCCTTAAGTAGTTACCTCCTGTTGCCATACTGTATCTTATATCAGTCTGACACTTGTTGACTATCCTTAGTGGAATCATGCCAGGTAATAATTATCTTCTTGATTAATTGAAAAATTGACATTTTAAATTATGTCATTTTACATAGACTATGTAAATAGGGCATCAAAAAAGTAATATACTGGGTTATTGAAGATAATTTTATTGTGTTGTTTCTTAAATCATACCAGTATCCTAGTAGTTTTGCTGCCTAGATGATTGTTATCCTCAAAAGGTTTCCTAACTTTTTATCTATGTCTTGTCCTCAGATATTTGAGTCATTATAGAAAAAGAACATGAGTTTTGTATGTAGGAAAGTAAAGCCTCCAACCACATGGTGTTACTGACATTGTGATATAAATTCAAAAGTTCTAGCCATTCTGAAAAATGAATCACACTCAAACGATTTAGACCATCTAGTAAAAGTAATATTTGCAAGATGAGGAAAAGTGAGGAAAGCAAAACACAAGGAGAGAGTAAGGGAGGGAGAAAGGAAATATTTCTTATCTGTCACATGAAGGAGAATACAAACATGGCATATATCCATGGTGAAGGACATAACTATTAGGGAGTTGGATGTTCTAAATCAGGGTGAGGTAATATGGTCTGTATGCTCCATGAAGAGCAGACTCTAGCCTTCTGAGCAGGATGCAGTGAAGATCTATCCAGCAGGTCAAGATTCAGAGTTGGAAGGAATACACACTGGGAAAAATCTCAGGGGAAGGGGGTTCTAAAATGACAACAAACAGGCCTGGGTAAAGTAACACCCCTGGACATTATTAGCTTTCAGTTCCCGTAGACTGGAAGCAGCAGTCTTCTAGGAAAATAAAACCAAAGAACAGGCCCCAAATTTTTATTTACTGTGGTATCTTGGTTCACAAACTTAATTTTTTCTACAGTTCTGGTCACAAACTGAATTGGACGAGAACTGAATAAAATTTCCCCATAAGGTCAATATTGATCCTAACCATTGAATTTGATTCTGTTCTCATCCAATTCAGTTTGCAACCAGCATTGTGGAAAAAATTAAGTTCATGAACTGAGGTACCACTGTCTCGTCTGAGTTACTTTCCTTTTATTCATCTGCTTTCACTACTTCAGATACAAGTGCCTTTTTAAAAAATCACTTGAGATACATTTCTCAGCCAGTCTTCTAAACTTGAAAAAATTGCAAGTTCTATGTGAATTTGGTAAAACCTATTTTGTAGGGTTATATAAACATACATTTTAGGGCAGAATGACTGAAATTTTTGTTAATATATAAATAGAGTAGATATGAACATCATTATTTTGATCCCAGATAAAACTACCAAGAACTAGTACCTTTTTTTTAAAGTTCAGAAGATGTCAGATAATATAGACCATTCCCATTCAAAAACAATGAATGTGTAAAAAAAAAACCTTCCTACTAAGAAAAACTGTAAATTTTCCCAACAAATGCACAGTTTTGTGTGTAGGATTGTATTCTCCAGCAGTTTGCAACTCCTCCTCCCAGGCCTGGGGTCAAGGCACAAGTCCTATCCATTCCAGATCTGACTCCATCCAAACCACTCCTATTTACATTAGTTGCATCCTTCACAAAATGGAGCCCTCCTTTAAAGCTTTTCAAACTACATTCAAGATAATCTAACTAAAATGCTCTTTTACTGGAGTGAAATGTAGTTCTTACAATTCAAAGCTATGTCTCACCCTCAGGACTGCAAAACAGATTTTTTTAAAAGTGCTAAGGTAGTGGCTTCTGCAAATCTCACCCCAAGGGATATTTATTCTCATTTTGCAGAAGTTCCTTGAAGAAAATGGGCATAGAAAATGTGGTTTGCAAAATTTCTTCAGCAGCACTGGAAACAGAGTCCAAGACATGTTCTTTTCCTCCCCTGGGGGAGATTTGTCTCTCCTTTTACCCACAATCCTAAAGAAACTTGTTTGAGCAGTTTTCCATAATGCACTGAAGTATTGTGTCATTGTGTCACCCCTCCAAATCCATGTGCTGAAGCCCTAATCCTTGATGTGATAGTAATCAAAGGTGGGCCTTTTTGAAAGCATTTAGATTTTGATGATTTTATGAGAGTGGGTCTCAATATTATAATCTGTGTCCCTGTAATGAGACTGAAAAAGAATAGATTTCTCTCTACAGTTATACCCTAGTGCTCTAATGCTTTAAAATTCCTCAAATTTGCACTCAGCCCATTTTGACAAGAAAATTTTTTCACAATGATCTTTTGTTTGGTATTCAATAGGCAAACTAGAACATGATATCAATTGCCTCCTGATTTGCTACCCTTTCCAGCCAAACAATTTGTATGGTACTCATCCTTTTTGGTACTGGTCATGTCTCCCAGATAAATTAACAAGGAGTACCAAGGTACCACTGTACTTCTCTCTCCTTAGCTCAATCCTCCACCTCATGTGAGGGCACAGCAAGAAGGCAACTCTGCAAGCCATGAAGGATGTCTCACCAGGAAACTAATATTCAGGCATCTTGATCTTGGATAGTCAGCCTCCAGAAGTGTGAGAAATTAATCTCTGTTGTTTAAGCACCCCAGTGTAGGGTGTCTTGTCATAGTGATAGAGCAGATTTACGGGATTGGATAGGGGGCAGAGCTAATAACAATCTCACCACTATAATTAGCCCAAGTTAAATGAAAATTATACCCCACCAGGAATTTGCAGTTTCCAAAAGTCCACGCAACTTTTTCAGGAAATTTCCATTTGACTGTTGCCATGGACATCAGTATATTCACTAATTCTTTTTACAATGCCAAAAAGTCACGTGGTAGTTCAAAGTCTTGCTTGTCTGATTGAAGGTCATCGGCTCAAAAATTCTATTGCAGAGAAGACTATCTTCAGTATTTGAATTTTCCTGTACTACTACAGAGTCTGCCATAAAACATATGCTCAATTATTGTTTACTAAGTAAGAGTCAAGAACCAAGAAGACTATTTGATAAGGATTTAATTTTAATTAACTTTAATAAGCCAAGAAACAGCTTAAAAACATTTACCTTTACAAAACCAAAGATTAAAAGCAAAAGAGAAAACAAGAATTGAACATGTTTCAATTACTTTTTTCTTATACTAAATAACTCTACCTATTGTGGGGTTCTTAAACATTTTCCAGAACATTTCCTCTAGTGATAGCCTCTTTCTTTAAGTGAATGATCAAAAGCCTCACACATCAACTGGGCTGGAAGAAGCGGTGGGATCTGTGGCCATGGACACTGCACTAGGTTTGGCAGTACAGCCATCTTTGGCTGCACCTGTGGTTTGGGCTCTTTCTACCTCATCTCTTTTAGAGATTTCATAAAGAGATGAGAAGTAGGCAAGGGAAGCTTTATTAACCCTGGATAAAAACTTCAGGACTTTCAGCTTGTTGGTTTCAGTATGTGCTTCCGGGCCCCACAGGAACTCATGGCATGGAGGGTCACTGCCAGGCACCTGCTGATACACCAGGTACTTTAGCCTCACCAAATTTTGGGTGAAGAGCTTCTTAGGATCTCCAAAGACCAGGTGTTTCCTCCCAGGATACATTCCCATCTTTTTCAGGAATCTCCAGATGTCTTCCTTGGCAACACAGTTGCCCTTCATGAAGATCACAGCCAGGACATTCATCAGGAGACCCGTCTTAGGGTAGCCCCTGCCAGGGAGAATCCTCCCATTGTTGGGTAGGCTCAGCATACTGGCAAGGATATAGGAGTGATGGGTGGAGTCCACTTCTCTCCCTTCAACTGCAAAGCCCGCCTCCAGGTGCCCACAGGCACTCTTGAAAATCTCAACAAACTCATCTCTGTTCTTCCAGGTCGTGACCTTCAACATCTCGTCCTTGGTAAAGAGCTGCTTCAAATTAAATTTGTGGAGTATGAACCTTTCCAACATCTCAACTGGGCCATGAGGGTTTCCCCAGTAATAATTATTGAAGAGCGCAGCTCGAGAAGAGCCCCTCATTTCCTCATATTGACCATCAGAAGGAGTGCTGGCACATGGAATTCTTTGAAACAGCCAGGCATGGCCACCTAGTCTAGCAGCAGGTGGGCTATAGGAAAAAGACATTTCTTTTTTTCCTCCTCCTCCTCCTCCTCCTCCTCCTCCTCCTCCTCCTCCTTCTTTTTCTTCTTCTGTTGTTGCTGGTGCTGCTGCTGCTGCTGGTGGTGGTTGTGCTGGTTGTGGTGCTGGTGCTGCTGCTTCCTGAGCATCCTCAAAACCCTGATTGGCACCACCTTCCTGGGGACATTTCTCACGGGCATGGGCTTTGCTCTTCTGATGACAAGGCATGATGAATCTTTTTAGAAACAAGAGGGAGGAGTGTGAATGAGATGGCTGGTGCTGCAGGCACCTGGAGGTGGGAGAATGAGATTATAGGAGCACCTTCAGCAGAGAGACACCTCCTTGGCTTTAACCAAGTGTACCTCTGCAGCTCTCTGTGAGAGCAGTGCTCTAGGAACTGACAGTGGTCCTATTCTAGTCAGCATGTCCCTGTAAAGGGAGGTGGAATGAGTCCAAGGCTGTGCCCTGCTACCCCACTCTGTGGTATTCTGGGGTGGTGACAAAGGCTGTGTGGGGTCCTCTCAGTTCCCTATCACACTTATCACTAACTGTAGGCAAGTCCTGCACCTCTCACTTCTGTTGCTCTGAAGGTGACTCCTCTAACCAAAGCCAATATTTTGTATCCAAGAGCCAAGAGGAGGAAGTGAAGGAGCTTCTTGGCATATCATCACGTCATCTGCCCTGCACCATCAAGTTATGTCGATCCCTCTCTGTTACGGGCTGTTAAGACATGTAGTTCTCATTCAAAAAATTCTCCAGATGACCAGGTACAGCCTGCTATAACTGTCTTCTGACTGGGAGCTGAATCCTCACACCAAATTTTACCTCCATCATCTGTTTTGGATTTGCTATAAAGAAATGACGGGAAGCCACAGCCTGACAGGCCTGCCTTGGGCCTTCAAGTGTTGAATTTATGAGTCAGGCTGCAATTCTTTGTTGCCTATTCCATCATGAGTTGTCCCCTCAATCGTAAATTTGACCTCTGAAGCCATCCTTTTCCTAGAAATCTGTGTTCCTGCTGTCATCCCCGAGACTCCCTAAGAGGACAGAGCAGCCACCTCACCAAACTATGACCTCCCAATGCTTATAACAATGGGTGGATTTTGTGGTACCCTTTTGGTTTTCTTCTTAGACTTATGGTCCTCATCTCAACCCCTAGGAATATTTAGAAATCCTCCCACTGTTGAACTTATGGGCCATCCCTTTTAGACAGTCTCTCACCACTATTAATAACATATGGAGACAATGGGTACAAGTCATATGCTAGTACCCACATACCCTAGGCTCTCATCAGAGTGTGGGTTCTCCAGTCCTCACATATATTCCTTCCTTTGACTTCTAAGTTTCTGGCAAGTTCTCCCATGCTAACTTGAAACCCCTCTCCACTCAGACTGAGGCTCTTACATCCCTGGAAACCCTCCTTTCAAAAAATAGTCTGATAGTTCCACACGAGGTCCCCTAGAATTGATGACAGGTAAGCTGCATTCCAGGTCAATCTTGTGGTGCCAGTGATTTCCTGAGAACAGTGTTCTGCTCTTGATTCCTTGCAGATCATGCTAGTCCTTCCTTAGCTGACCTGAGCCCTTTCCCCTCAGTCCAAGGCTCTCAGATCACTGATAATATCACATGGGAAATAAGGGCTCACATCTATCTACCTGACTCCCATATTTGAACATTCTAGAAACAAGAAACTGTCCTCATCTTTGGTGTTAAGGTCTGCTTCTTTTCCCTCTGCTTATTTAAGGGACTCATTTTATTTACCATCACATTCCTAAGACCCTAGAGGTAAAAATGCAGGGATATCTCAACCAACCCACGCTCTTTAGAGACCTTCAAGACTAAAAACCAGGATGAGGCTTTGTGAGGTAAGAGGCCGGCGCCATCTTCTGAGGTGGGTGTTTCTCTCCTTCTCAGTGGAGCTCTTTACCTGTCTCTACCAGAGACTGGGTCTTTTCTCTAACTTCAGCAAAGCTGGCAGCAGTATGCGAAGCTCTTCTCTTCCTGAGGCACAGCAAAAGGAAGTGAATGCTACCACCTATGAAAATACCTGGAAAGGCAAACTGCAAGGGCAATTTCTCTGGGGCCCTCTCTGTGCTGGGGTGCGTGGCTTCCTCATCTCATAGAGGACTGGACATAGGACTCCTCTCAGAGCTTTTGGCCCCTCCCTCTGTCACTCCTCCTTATAGCGAGGACCTCACATTTCTGAGACACTTGTAGAATCAGGCTGTCACTGCAGCTGTGATCTACAGAGATCTATAAGGAAGTAAAGCAAAGATACTGACTTAACCCCTGTAGGATTGGGCACTCTTACTTGGTATTTACCCAGGTCCTTTTCTTGCCTCCTCTCACACTAATGAAAAGTTTTCTGGAAAATTCTGCATCCCTGTAAACTCTTGAGTAGGGTCCCTACTTCTAATAGGGGCATAATAAGTCTGTTTCTAGAGTTATATGAGTTGTGAAATCTAAAGAACAAAGTGCAGGTCTAGGAAAAGGACCTGGATTTCACATAAAATATTATCATCAGGTTCTATCCTTATGTTCTTTCTGTTCTGCTCCTTAAGTGACACCTCTCATCAAGATGCTCATTTTATTACCAAATACTATTTCCTTCTTATTGTTACCCAGACCTCTCATTTATTTTAGTATTCTTATTGTTCCTTATGGATTCTAATCTAGTACTTTGGACACATAATCATTTTTTAAAGTCATGTGAGATACATTTTGGAATAGTAAGGAGAGACATAAATACAGATACACAAGTTCAGCTTCAGGGTAGGTGTTGTGGAATGGTGTGGGGCCTAGATTCTTTGAGATCAGAGAAGTATCCTAGCTCTATCACTACCTAGAGAATATGAGAATATTACTAGTTCTTCATCAGCCCCTTCCAGTTAGGTAGTCTGGCTTTGGACAGTGTTCTTCCTAAATTCTTATATTAAAATATGAATCCCTAATGGAATAGTATTAGGAATCAGGAACTTTGGGATATGATTAGGTTTAAATGAATTCACGATGGTGGGATTAATACTCTCATAAAATACTGGACAGCTTGTGCTTCCTCCTCCACCAGCAAGAAGGTAGATGTCTACATTGGATACCTCACCAAGAACTGAATTGCCTCGTGCCTTCCTCTTAGATTTCTTGTCACTTTTGAGCCCATTAAGGTGTTCCCTAAATACAATCTGACTTCTGTGCACCTATACAAAGAATTGGCATACACAGAGACATCAGGATGGACACAGAGAAAGGGATCACATGGAGAAGAGGCCAAAGAAGATGCCCTTCTGCAAGTCTAGGAGAAGAACCTTCAAGGAAACTGACCCTGATGACACCTTGATCACTGACTTCTAGTCTCTGGGATCGTGAGAAAGTACATTTCTACTTTGTGAAAGACATTGAGTGAACTGTATCTTTTATGATAGCACTAACATATTAATACCTTTCTCAAAGTAGATTATTCCTTTTTATTTGTCTCTGATCCCAAAGTAATTAATAAGAGCATGCTTTTAATGGCCTCCTATGTACTTCACTGGTGAGGCAGGAATTTCCATAGTATGTTTATGTGGTATTAAAACGGACAACACTGGGGCAGGGGATTTAGCTCAGTGGCACCTCGCTTGCCTCGTAAGTGCAAGGTCCTGAGTTCGATCCCCAGTACCAAAAACAAAACAAAACAAAAAAACCAGACAATACAGGACATTAGACAGATGAGATCAACATCAATGAATCAGTCACATATCCTCATATACTTACAACCTTTGGAAGAAGGACACCATATGCCACAAAGTGCCACATGGGGCTCATGCTCAGCAACATAGTAAATAACCAGGGCCTGTGAAAGGCAGGATTGTAAATCAAGGGGAAAAAAGTGACTTGTAGTTCCCATGATGATGTTATTTGCCTGTTTAAATAATTCAAATGGGAATTAGCAAGAACTGGGCCTACTCCCCTTTATAAATAAAGATGGTTGTTCCACCAAAGAATCTTCTCTGGAAGTACAGCATATAGAAAGGAAATTGCACTTGAGCTATTAAAGGCCACCATGCTAGATCATGAATTGTCAAGATAGCACATAATATCAGAATTTCATTTTGGACCTTACGCTACAATGCATTTCTTCATTCATTTATCTACTCTCTCTTTTAGCACACATCATGTGAGAGCTGACCTGTACTCAGTAGTCTCATAGCTTCTTATAGCTTACTACAGAGGATGATTTAAAAGTTACATCACATTGACTGGCTTGAAGTTCCCCAAAGTTCAAAATGCCTTGCCTCAAGCAATTTGTCCTTCTTCTAACCCATTCTTTCTACTGTTTTGTAGATCATAGAGGATGTCTTCTAATTTTCCTCAATGTGATTATGGCTCCCAACTTATAAAACTGTAGGGGTTAAGGCTCAATCTTTATCTGAGCATCGCTAGTACTAGCTCAGAGCCTTTCAAAGACTAGATATTCAGTGGATGTTTGGAGAGTAAGGACAGTGAGCATTGTGGATTTATTTTGAAATATCCCCCAAAGGCCATGTGCTGGATGCCTACTCACCAGCTGATGAGCTTTTTGAAGCTGATTGGATCATGAGTGTTCTAACTCATCAGTATATTAATCCATTGAAGGATTCATAAGTTGATGAGATTACTGTGAAGTGATGGAAAGAGGAGGTGGGTCCCAGTTGATGAGTGTGTGTCATGGAGATGTGGCATGGGGATTATATCTTATCCCTGTCCCCTTCCCCTCTGGCTCAAGCTCATTCTCTGTTTTCTGGCTGCCAGGATGCGAACAGCCTCCTCTGTCACATGCTCCCACCTTATTGGTATTCTGACTTGCCTCAGACCCGAAGCAATGCAGCCCATTGCCATGGATTGAAAGCTCAGAAACCATGAGCCAAGATCAATCTTTTCTCTTT